AAGCAAATGAATACAGAACAAATCTGGTCCATCTATTTTTTACATCTTAAGCTGGCAGCAGATGGTGCAGCATGACTGATAGCCCTCGGCATCTTCTGGGTGCTTGGCAGAAGATACTGTACTACGACTGCTAGCCATCATCGTCAAGATGGTTCACTAGGACTGTCAGCAGGACTGAGTCTCCAGGAGACAAAGCATGTCTGCCCAGGTGCCTGTGATTGAATTGGAGTACGACGATGACGGATACCAAAAGGCAAGGGGCTGCTGCTGTGTAGCAATGCAGCCCCATGTCTGCTAGCACCCAGATCGCCGATGAAGGCTACTAGTCATACTGCACCGTCTACTGCCAAAATGCAATTAGCTGCTGCTGTGTAGCAATGCAGTACCACGTCTGCCGGCACCCAGATGACATATGGTGACGGTGAGCTGAGCTGAGCTGAGTGGGCTCCATGCTTGCCGTGGTATCTATCTATCTATCTATCTCATAGAACTGGAAGGGACCTTGAAAGGTCATCGAGTCCAGCCCCCTGCCTTCACTAGCAGGACCAAGTACTGATTTTTGCCCCAGATCCCTAAGTGGCCCTCTCAAGGATTGAACTTACAACCCTGGGTTTAGCAGGCCAATGCTCAAACCACTGAGCTATCCCTCCCCTGTTGTCTGCACAGGTAACCCAGGTAAAAAGGCGCGAATCGTTTGTCTGCCGTTGCTCTGACGGAGGGGGAGGGGTCTGACGGCATGTACCCAGAACCTCCCGCGACACTGTTTTGCATCATCAGGCATTGGGATCTCAACCCAGAATTCCAATGGGCGGCGGAGACTGCGGGAACTGTGGGATAGCTACCCACAGTGCAACGCTCCAGAAGTCAACGCTAGCCTCAGTACTGTGGACGTGGTCCGCCGGCTTCATGCACTTAGAGCATTTTATGTGGGGACACACACAATCGACTGTATAAAACAGATATCTATAAAACCGGCTTCTATAAATTCGACCTAATTTCATAGTGTAGACATACCCTCAGTTACTTTGTTAGCTCAAGTGGTAGAGGTCTCTATTGTGGATCCAACCCTGTAGCTGACCCATGTGGATGTCAACATGATTCCACAGAAGGGAATTTGTTTTTCTCAGGAAGATTTTTTAAAAACTACATTAGAAGAACATTAAGGTTGCAAAATCAAGTCTTAAAAGTGAGGAAATGCCAGAATTAAAGTTGCCTGGGCAAACTTAATTGGGCCCCTTGTGAGTATGCATTATGATACAATCTTTAATTACATGTTTATATTATTTTTTCCCACAGGATCTATACAAAACAAGAACTTCAAGGCATATTTTTTTTCCTGCAGCTTGTATGAATTATCTAAGTGATTTAACCTTTGATATTTTTTCTTTACATTTTATGGATCTTGCCATAAAAATAAGAAAGATGCAGTATTTCTTGCATAGTCTGAAGTGTTAATAATGATTGACTAGCTTTCTTACAAAATACTAACACTAATATTATCTGAAAACTCCTTCAGATAATACCGTTTAAAGAAACAATTTTCTACCTGAAAAATTCAGAGTAGTTGAGACAGAGAAATTAGTTAACATTTTGTTTCAAGATCTCCTAGACTCACTAGCCAACCTACCCTCTGTCTCAATCAGGCTCTATGTGTAATTACCAGTTTAGGGTCAGATTCTGAATACCCATATTCTCACTGAGTAACACATCACCCCACATATAGTCTCATTTAAATGGGGTTACTTGAGGAATAAGTTACTGCCAAACATGAGTAAACTCTTGCCCACTGTGAAGTGAAATAATAGACCATAATGCAACAATAGCATTACCTTGCTCTCAGGATCAGAGTACATTGTCATCTTTCTTTAAGAAACAAATCAGCAATCACTTGCACTAAGTACAGCTTATCAGTTAATAAAGTCAAGAATAACATGACACTTTGGTGATGTCTGGGAAATGACCTTTAGTATTAACAAGTTCTATTTTGCAATGTAGAGCTGTATTTAAATACTATGTTACTCAAATATAAAATTGCATTTTTGACCATTCTTTTTTCTTGTGGTCACCGATTTTGGTTTAAATTCATTTTCAAGTTTCCAATGAAGGAGCTGATAAGATTTTCTAATCAACCTGCCCTTTATTGATGTAAAATAAACTGCAAGAGCATGAAAACACTCTGATACAGAAATCCTGGAAGAAAACTGAGTAATCGCCCTGGGTTTGGATTATATAATTGTACTGAATTAGTTTTTCACTCTGCAACTACACAAATGTCACTAATGAAATTCCATCATTTCCACTGAAAGATATCATTCATAATTCATTTCAACATGCTCCACTAAGCCTGCTAATCTTCAAGGTCACTGGCTAGAGGAAGCATAGAAATATTACTGGAACCTTTCTAAGGTTCAACAGTTGCTTTGCCTTTCCTCCTCACCATTAAGTTTAAAATGTTTGTAGAGTAAACCTCAACATGTCTTACCGTCAGCTTCTCCTTTAAGGTGTGTTTTGCTGAGATTTCTTTTTCGTGCTTTTCTAACTCCATGTCCCAGAAAAAGAGGCTCAGATCCTGGGTAGAAGTGATTTAATCTGACTACATATTAGATATCACTATACTTTTCAAGTTGTGAGACAGAACTCTATCAGGCAGTGCTGGTGATAATTTCTGGTTAGCTAGTGTTTCCATTTATAGACGTAGAAACTTCACAAATAGAATCCTAGAGAGAAGGCAGGCAGCTGGCCTCAGATAACAATATATATTATTTTGGCATCAAAGCAAACTGTTTAACGTGAGTACTGTTGTAGCAGGTTTTTTGTTACCTGGACCCCCCACACACAAAATAAGCTTGTGTTTAAAGACTCCCTGAAAAGGAACTGGAAAGTAATAGCTAGATCACAGTAGAACTTATTCTTGAATGCACAGTTTATTAGCCAACTAAAATGACAAATATGATTAGCTTGTATGATATGATGTTACATAGACACAGGGTAACCAGAGCAACATTTGAAAAAGGATACATACGTTTGTCTATTGATCTTTCTCAGTTACCAGAGTCTGCTGTTGAGCGGTCCCACTAGAATTTAATGTAGAGATGTATTCTCCTCGTGTCCTTCTAATAATAGGACATGCTATATTAAATGTCTTCTTGGTCTTCTGAAATGCAAAAACAAAATCAGAACATTGTATCTGTGCTACAAGTGTTAATACACTCAAGAACTGGTCAGTGTAGATATAAAATATCACTGTATTTAAAGCCCATTACATATCAAGGGAGATGGGCTTTTAAAGTGAGTTAACTATAGAAGAATAACCTGGCTTGGGTTCATGATGATAAAGTCAGGAGTCCAATATTAGAAACTGTGGTGGGAGGAGGTTATCTCCTTGGCTGTGCTGTAGATTCCAAGGTTTACAACACAGCCGCTGGTTGCTACATCAACTAGGTCAATGCTGATATCTTCTGAGTGATTCGCATGCACAGTTTGTTCTGCAATTCCTAGTAACTAATAGGGAAAAGTCCAATTGCAAACACAGTCATGTAAAAAAAAATACTTTGCTACTGAATCAGAATAGATTCTTTGTTGGTTCTGAGACATATCAGAAAAATTAAACTTTCCTTCATGAAATTGGCAATGTAGATGTCACATGCTCAGATTATACTAAGAGAATTTCAATTACTACTAGAGGACCATCCTCTTTTGCCTGAAGCACTCTGAAACCTGCTTCTGGTTCTTATCTAGTAAAAACCTAGTTTTGGCTTCATGGAATTGTTAACTTGTGTACCACTGTAGATGTGACAGTCAAAGCTAAACACGTATTTCTTCCTGCATTGCTTACTTTTTGTTGTGAACTGTACCCACATGATCTTCAGAGCTTCAGATGGGAAGGAAAGAGTGGAGAAAAATCATGAGAGGATATTAAATAAAACTGGCAAAGAAAAAGTTGCCAAAACTCACATTTTTCCTTCTTTGTTCATAACAAAGAAAAAGTTCTTTCTATAGTTATCTTTTAGTCTCTCTTTTATCTTTGCTTTATAGAAGTACAAGACCATGGCTGGAAGAGTGAAGGAAGGGAAATTAAAGAACCACACACATTTACAAGGTGGGACTAGTAGGAAAAAAATAATATTATATTATATATATATATATATAAATTTACTTAAAATTGGGAGGCTAAAAAAAAATACCCTCATTGATTCTTCAGAAAAAGCGGGGGCAGAAAAAACACAAATAAGTGGCATAAACACAGGGAAAAAATAGCATCGCCTCTCTCTTGGTCAAGAATGAGAAAAGTACTAAGACGACTCACCTCTCTTCTGTGAGGATGAAATTCCTCCCTGGGCAGAGGGACTAGCACAAGGCCTATGCACCACTTATGCCATCAAAATAGTGCTTAAGTGGGATTTAAACAGCAGCTTATATTACATTGTTGCAAAGGGGTGAATGTCACCCAAAGTCATTAATCCTTCCATGGAGCAGTGCCACAGAAGCACAACGATGTTCCTTGTTCTCTTCCAGGCATTTTCTAATTTGAGTATGCCAGAGCCAGGTGGATTAGAAAATTGTACCATCTGCTTTCTGAAAATTCCCATAGCACATATGAAAAACTGAAATCTCTATTACTATTAATGTGGCACTTTGAAGTAATTTCAGATTTACAGAAAGTAAAAACGGTCCCAAGTCAAAATATTGTGCCCTCGTATTGTAAAGAAAATAAATGTGCAGCAATGTAATATAAACTCTACCTTGGGGCCATAGTTTGATATCACTGCATCCTCGGTATCGTGGTCACTTAGTTATTATTTTCACAATACATAGATGGATGGGAGTCAAATACTCAAAATTCACAGAAAATCTGCTTCAGTCCCCAAAGTGGAAGAAAAAACAATATGAGGTAGTGGAGAAGCACAGAATAGAAAGTTACCTGCATAGCATTGGTTAAAGGGGGGAGGCAGATTTCAATGGAGCTACACCAATTGACACAAACTGAGGATCTGGCTCTTAAGTGTTTATTCACTGCATTTTTAATATAGGTGGCCTCTGTCTCCTATTTCTTACACTAGTTTTACACCAGTATAAGTCCATTGATTTTAGTGGCATTACTCCTGATTTCCTTTGCTGAAAGGGAAAGGAGAATAAGGCCCAGGATGTTTAAGTAGAGATGCAATAAATTACTGGACTACCCTTGATCCAAAGCCTATTGAAGTTCATGGAAAGTTTCCTGTTGACTTTGATGGGCTCTGGATCAAGCTCATGGACTAGAGGCCGATGTACTTTATTAGGGGTCTAAGCTGTGTGTTACATGACAGACCTTCAGCCTATGCTAGAAAAGTCAGGACTTGCTCACACAGGACATGCAAATAATACATGTAGCCAATATTACATACTACTGAGGGGGATATAGTTCAGTTGCAGAGAATGTCAGGACGTCTGCTGCACCTGTCAAATACAGCCAAAAAGAGCATATGCTTCCTTCTGAGCATTAGCACATGATCATAACTCCCATGATAATCAAATCTACCGGCCCCATGATATATGAGCACTTTCTCTACCTGAAAAGAGATTGTTCTTTTCAATCCCTCCCTCATTGATATGATTGTGCATTTTAATATATTATTAAATATTAGAGGAAAGCTAAATGTAAAAAGTCAGTCTGAATCTTGCTCTGCAGGCATCAAGGTTTGTGATCATTCTAATCTCTGCAGAAAGCAAATGCAATAGTCATGAACCAGCATCTGAGAAAGCTCGGTCCCCTGTATTTGAGAGTCTTGTGTTCTGTCCCAATACAGAATCATCATGAATGGCCAGTGGGAGGCTTTCAATTGACCTCAATCGACTTTAGAACAGGTGCAAAATTACCACTGAGCTGCACAGCACATTGAGAAAAAAGGATAATTTGTGGTCATGCTGATGACCACAATTTCAGACTATTGGAGAATAGGACCCAATAGAGGGCGGACTGGCAGATTAGCAAATGGTTTACACCCGTTACGCAGTGGTGGATACTTCTCTGAAACTTTATTTGGGCTCTAAGAACCCACCCAGTTTTTATTCACTTTCAGTGTCTTATATTGTTGCCACTTTTGTCTCACCCAAGGGGAGCTGGATATGGATCTCCCCAGCACCTTTCAATGCTGCTTCTGAATCACGTAGAAAAGTTACTGAGTAACAACCACACCCTTAATATCAAGAGGTCCCCCCACAATGGGGGAGGGATTGAGAATAACAGAAGATCCTTACGACACATGTACCCAATTAGTTCATTAATTGAGTTATCTACTATCATGGCAGACTCATGTTATTTCATATCTAATCAATGTGTGATTAATAGATTTAAGCTGTAGATATAGGTATAGATATAAGTAGGATAGGATTATAGGAGTAAAAGATTGACAAGTTTTTGAAGAAAGGAATGTGTATTAGGTATATAAGTAAAATAAGGCCATAATGCAAGACCTGTAAGATTTCAGCTTAGCTTTACTATGCCTCAGGCTTAAGGATGTTTGACATAAGTCGAAACAACAAGGAGTCTGGTGGCACCTTAAAGACTAACAGATGCCACCGGACTCCTTGTTGTTTTTGTAGATACAGACTAACACGGCTACCCCCTGATACTTGACATAAGTAGGTGACCCAGGAATAACCCTATGCTAGTAAAGTTACAAGATTATGGTAAAGAATGTGCCAATAGTGATATTCTGGGAAAGTATACTTCAGTGAACCCATCTAGACTGCAAGACTAGATGTCTGTAACATCATGAAAAGTTCTCTTACTGCAAGTGACCATGGGAACATGTTTACGTAAATGTTAATAAGATGCTAATAAGAATAAGGAGAACTACAAGAACAACCTATGAGAAATAGGGCACTCCCAAATGTATGGTGTGTGGAAGTATAGGCCTTGGCTACACTTGCGAGTTACAGCGCTGTAAAGCCCACAGCGCTGTAACTCACTGACCGGCTACACTGGCAAGGCACGTACAGCGCTGTATCTCCCTGGGTACACCGCTGCAGGTACTCCACCTCCCCGAGAAGCATAAGAGATACAGCGGAGTGTCTACAACTCTCCCCTGTGTGTGTGTACCAGGAATCAACCTGCAGCGCTGTACTGATCACTTTGTCAAGTGGCCAACCCTCTCCATTGTTGTGACCGGCTGCAGGAATGCGGAAATGCCGGTTTCAAAGCTCGTACCACAGAGAAAAAGCAAACAGTTTGCTGTTTGCTTTGAGTGAGTGAATGAATGAGCAGGGGGCCGGGAGTTCGGAACTTGCAAAATAGAGTGCTGACACGCTCCAAAAAGCACTCTCTCTCCCCCCACTTACCCCTGTTTTGAAAAGCACGTTGCAGCCACATGAATGCTGGGATACCT